CTATATTATGAACACTGATCTTCATAGCCTCAATGATGCTCCTGGTACCCTGTGCTACATCTGCCAGTCCCGTCTGAGTTCAGCTGTCACTATAGTGGACAGTTCCTGTGAGACCTGCTGGCTTCCGACTTCAAAGCTGAGTCTCAGTATTTCTGTCTCAGGGCTTTTCCTAAAGCCTCCATAGCTCAATCAACTTGCACACAGGTGTGACAGGCACATAGGAGGACACAGTCCAGGGCTTGGAAGATGACCCAAGTCAAGGTAATCATGTACAGTCAGAGCTGAGATTAGGCCTTCAGCTTAAGGAATGAAAAAAGATGGTTTTAATTTCCACTGGCCTTAGAGCTGTGAGGATGTAAGAAGCAGACACAGAGGTAAACAGCAAAAAGTTGGAGATGGAAAGGACTGAGAGAGAGGGAGAGATTGACTTCTCATTGCCAATTGCAGCCTGGCTTATGTCTTCATAACTCTAAGCTTTTTTTCACTATGTTTACTTCAACATAAACATATGTTTGTCCCCATGTTCAGAGTTGTGGCAAGACAGAATGCGACCAACCCCATGCATGAGGGGCCAGAGGCATATGAGAAGCAAAATACACTATGCTGCAGCTGGAAGGTCTCAAGCTGGGGGTCCTTAATGTAATGGAGAACATCAATCTAATCATTCAAGAAACATTTAATAAGTACTGAGAATATTCTAGGCTAGTGTTTCTCAAAGTACAGTACATGGAAAATCTGTCAGAATTCCCTCTGGTGTTTCCTACTCAATCAAAACCTCCAGGGACCTGGAATCTGCATTTTAAGATAGCTCTGTAGGTGATTCGCATTCACACTGAAGACTGAGAATCACACTATTCTAGGTGCCAGGGCCTAACACGGAAGGTAGACGTGGCCATGACTTCCCAGTATATTTATGTGTGTAAGGGTGGGGGACAGCTGATTACAATGCAGTGATATGGGTGCTAGAATGGAAGCAGGGAGGTCACATGGCAGATGCGCCTTGCTCAGACTGAGGAGGGTCAGGGAAGTTTTACAGGAAGGACATCAAAGCTGAAACCTGGAGGAAGGATCTGAAGCTCTGGAGAGAATTCTGTACTACACAGAAACATGGGAGTTGTCAGCTCGTGGAGAGTTAAGTGCTGCCTTGGCCATGAACGAAATGGTAAGGGGGGAGGGTGTAGAGTGAGAAGCGGACCAGTGACCACCCAAGCCCTCCGTGCCCAGATATCATCCGTCCTCGCCTTCCTTGTTCCCCGGCCCGGCCCTTTCGCCCATCCCTGAGGCTTCAGAGAGACCCTTCGTGGAGCCATCGTGAGGGGGCGGGGCTCGGCTCTGCAGGACGCTCTCCCGCGGCCCGGAGAGTGCGCGGCGCGCGCCCGCCCTGCGTGATGACGTCAGCGCGCCCCCGCGCGCCGGAGGAGCGGGAGCCGCGGGCCGGCAGACGCTGAGGCTCCGGTGAGCCGGGCGGGGCGGCCCTTTCGCCCATCCCTGAGGCTTCAGAGAGACCCTTCGTGGAGCCATCGTGAGGGGGCGGGGCTCGGCTCTGCAGGACGCTCTCCCGCGGCCCGGAGAGTGCGCGGCGCGCGCCCGCCCTGCGTGGTGACGTCAGCGCGCCCCCGCGCGCCGGAGGAGTGGGAGCCGCGGGCCGGCAGACGCTGAGGCTCCGGTGAGCCGGTCGGGGCGGCGGAGGAAGGGGCGGGGCAGGGAGGCCCCCGGAGCGCGGGGTCTCGGTCCGGATCAGGAGCGGGAGCCCTAGGGATGCTCAGTACTCCCTTCCTCTTCCAGCAGGACCCCTCGGCCCGGCGATGGAGTTTCCGGACCTCGGAGCTCACTGCTCGGAGCCGAGCTGTCAGCGCTTGGGTAAGGGGCGGGACCGAGCGGAAAGGGCTTGGCACTACCGGTGGGCGAGGAGGATGGGACTCCGGGACTGGAAACACCAGAGAAGGGCGGGGCTCGAAGTTGGGGGCGGTGGCTAAGGGGGCGTGGCTAAGGGGCGTGGCTAAAGAGAGTGGACGGAGCAAGGGGTGCAGTGTGTTGCAAACAGGGTGACCTTTTCCTGGCCCTGAGTGGAAGGCCTGAGTAAGAAGGACGGACGTCGAGGTCCCGCCGTACCTACAATCAGACCCGCTCCCTGCAGATTTTTTGCCGCTCAAGTGCGATGCCTGCGCGGGCATATTCTGCGCGGACCATGTGGCCTACGCTCAGCATAGCTGTGGATCTGCTTACCAAAAGGTGAGGGGGCGATTCTAAGAATAAAAGGGGGCGGATGGAGGATGCATGCAGAATCCCCGAAGTCTGTCTGCCTCATATTTCCTCTCTGTTGTCGTGCTTTTTCCTCGCCCTGAGTGGAAGGCCTGAGTAAGAAGGACGGACGTCGAGGTCCCGCCGTACCTACAATCAGACCCGCTCCCTGCAGATTTTTTGCCGCTCAAGTGCGATGCCTGCGCGGGCATATTCTGCGCGGACCATGTGGCCTACGCTCAGCATAGCTGTGGATCTGCTTACCAAAAGGTGAGGGGGCGATTCTAAGAATAAAAGGGGGCGGATGGAGGATGCATGCAGAATCCCCGAAGTCTGTCTGCCTCATATTTCCTCTCTGTTGTCGTGCTTCTGAGGCTTACTTAGTGTGTTTTCCTGTGCGTTTGTGGGGTACATATCCAGGTTCTTTCAGGACCAGAGATTTTTTGGACTGGGAGTGGGCCACAGATTGATCCCTGCCCCTTGACTATAGGATATCCAGGTACCTGTCTGCCCTCTCTGTAATGTGCCTGTGCCTGTGGCTAGAGGGGAGGCCCCTGACCGCGCTGTGGGGGAGCACATCGATAGAGATTGTCGCTCTGATCCAGCACAGCAAAAACGTAAGGTAAGCATTGGATGGGTCAACCATGACCCAGCTGGAACTACGGATGCCTGGAAACCTAAAAAGCCAACTCTTATGATGGGGCTGGAGAAGGGGGCGAGTCTCAGCAGACAAACCTTCCACTTCACCTCAGATCTTCACCAATAAGTGTGAACGCTCTGGCTGCCGGCAGCGAGAAATGATGAAACTGACCTGTGAACGCTGTGGCCGAAACTTCTGCATCAAGCACCGTCACCCACTGGACCATGATTGCTCTGGGGAGGGGCACCCAACCAGCCGGGCAGGGTAATTACAGCTGAGCTCTCTACTTGTCTTTGGCACCATCCCTTCCTTTTGCAAGTGACTCAGCCTCTGTTATTACAAATTGAGAAGCTTCAACCCTGTCCCTGTTGGCTAGGGGAGTCTTTTTTTTTTTTGGCGGCTGGCCAGTAAAGGGATCCAAACCCGGGACCTTGGTGTTATAGGGCTGTGCTTTAACCAACCAAGTTATCCAGCCAGCCCTGACTAGGGGAGTCTTAGCTTCCTTTTCAAGTGCATGGTTTTCCAGACTGGAGAAACTCCTGACTTCTTGGATAAGGCTTGTTCTTGGAGGTGTGCCAATAGTGTCTCTTCCCTGCAGACTTGCTGCCATCTCCAGGGCACAAGCTCTGGCTTCTTCTACAAGCACCATTCCCAGCCCAAATCGGACCTTGCCTTCTTCCTCTACCTCTTCCCACAGGTAGGCCTGCCCAATTCTCCTCTCCCCTATTTTTTCTTCACATCTCTGACCTCAACCTCTTGAATGTCTGCCACAGAGTCACAACCCGATCTCCATCCCGGACAGCCCCTCCAGTGATTGCTTTGCAGAATGGCTTGGTGAGTTGGGCAGAGGTTGGATGGACAGAAGCAAACACACATGGAAAGTAAAGTCCAAGGAAACTGGCCCTCTCTCCCTTTACAGAGTGAGGATGAGGCTCTGCAACGAGCCCTGGAACTGTCCCTGGCAGAGACCAAACCCCCAGTCCTAAGGTACCTACTCCCTGGTGAAAGAGAGGGGGTAGGATGTGGGCAAGGGCTCAGTCTGGATGGAAGTAAGTGGGACCACTCTGACCCAATGCATGATAATATTTAGGAACTTGGGCTCAAATTAAGATGAACTTCATGACCTTTGACAAGTTCTTTAACCCACAGGGCCTTAATTTCTTCTATAAAATGGGAACAATACTAATACCCACCTTGTAGGGTTGCTATGAAGACTGAGGTAATACTCAGAAGTGCTCCACACCATGATGCTTAACACAAATCAGATGCTCACCTTTTACATATTACTGTCATCCAACTTAAGCTGTTCCTCCCTCCCAGTTCTCAGGAGGAAGAAGACTTAGCTTTAGCACAAGCACTATCAGCCAGTGAGGCAGAGTATCAACAGCAGCAGGTATGAGGATGGGGTAAAGATGGGGTCCTTTGCTGGAAGGGAGTAACAAAGTTGCGGGGGGTGGTGGTGGTGGAGAGTTTTGGAATGGCGGTTATCCTTTTGTTTTCGGTATGACTCCAGTCCATGCTGAACTCTGACATTTCCTTACATTGTACCGTCTTCCCTTCCTTCCCCTCTTCTTGCTCCAGGCCCAGAGCCGCAGCTTGAAGCCATCCAACTGCAGCCTGTGCTAGGGCCCTGGGCTTGGGGAGGGAGGCTCAGCTGAGGAGGATTGTGGCCCTCACACCTCTAGGGTACCCAGGGAGAGGAGGCCCGGAGCAGCCTGGAGTGCACAGACAAGCAGGAGTGATGTGGAGGCCACCTCCAGGGAGCGAGTGTCAGCAAAACAGTTTGCTGAGCTGAGCCTATAGAAGGCCCTGCTGGTGCTCCAGCTACATGGGATCCGGTGGAGAGAAACCATTCTCTGGTTGAGCCCTCGGTGGATGCTGGCCAGGCCCCACTCTCACCCCCCTTCATTATGTCATCCCCCTTATGCTGGGACTACTGTCATGTGTAGTGGGCAGGGAGTGGCCTGGAAAAAATAAAGGATCTTGCAGTCAATAAGACATCCAAGTGGTATGTTTCTTTCTCCTCTCCAACCCAAAAGAGGAAAGTCTTGTCAGGAATGCTCACTTGACTTAAGGGTAGGGACCCACTGCAGTACTCCACACCACAAAGCCACAGTGATCCTCACACAGTCTACACTTTTATTTCCCCAGAAAGTCCCTTTCCCTCACTATAGCTGGCACTAAATCCCAAGACCAGTAAGAAATAAGTTAGGGAAAAGAGATACGTCTTGTTTCCCTCTGAATTAGTCTTTGGGAGGGAAGTGACCACAACTTTTGTCACCATGCCATGGTCTGGGGTTTGGTGTCTTCAGAGGCTTCTTCCTGTCCCCGCTGCTGCAGCTGCCACATGTCAGCATACACCCCACCTTGGGCCAACAGAGCCTCGTGCCTAGGTCACGGAGAAAAGTGTAAGCCCCAACCATCAGTTTTGCCCCAAGGGTCCTTGACACCAGCCCACAGAGAGGATAGAGGAGATGGGAAACGGAGAGCCCCTCCAGAAGGCCCTGGGACTTCACAACCTTTTCCTGAAGGTCCCAATTCAGAGGCACTGCCTGGTTGATCCTGTCTCTTACCGTCCTCTCTCTACAATGCAGCCATCCTTGATGACGAGGATCTGGTCAGCACTGACCACAGTTGAGAGCCTGAAAAGTCAGAGGTCAGTTGCCTACTACATCATCAAAAGTGGGTCCACACTGCCAGTTGCCCCAGCCCCATAGTTCTGTACCTGTGGGCCACTACAATGGTGGTACGGTTGGCACAGACTTTGGCCAGAGAAGCCTGAATGGCCCTCTCATTAGATGTATCCAACGCCGATGTTGCCTGCAGAGAGGGTCTGCGTAAAACTGCCCCTGCCACTCAAAACCCCCAATGGAAGGAGGATGAAGACTGCTAGCTGAGGCCTCCCTCAGGAATGAAAAAGAAGCTTGTTTGGGCTTGAGAACTGTAAATTAGTGTTTTTGTGAAACATGGATTCATGATATCTATCTTAGTTGGGAAACAGTGCCCAGCAGGAATGGCTTGGGCACAGACAGGGGAGGAAGGAGGGGAGAAGGCTGCCCAGGGCTTCACCTCATCCAGCAGAATGATGTCCGGAGCCTTGAGAATGGTGCGGGCAATGGCAACACGCTGCTTCTCCCCTCCACTCAGCTTTAGTCCTCGCTCGCCCACCTGAGTCTCATACCCTGTGGATATTGCCCACCTCCCTCAAATCACATGTAATAAACTTGGTTTCTGTGACCAAATGTGCAAGGAAGAGATGGGACAGGGGACAGAGGGATTAACAAGACTACACTAGGCAGGGGATGGGACTCTGCAGAGGAATCTCACCTTCAGGAAAAGCCATAATGGCATCATGGATGCCTGCAGCCTGGGCAGCAGCCTCCACCTCGTCCTTCCCAGCTGTGACACGGCCATAACGGATATTGTTGTAAATGGTGTCATTGAAGAGGACAGTGTCCTGGGGCACGACTCCAATGTGAGACCGGAGAGAGATTTGGGTCACCTGGGGCCAAAAGACCAGAAGTCCTACCCTGTGAGGTGCCCCCAGGCCTGGGAGGTAGGATGGACTGGCAGGAAGTACATCGGAGAGAGGCCCTAGGAAAGAATCCTGCTGCTACAACCCCAAATTTTGGCTGCAGGGGAAAATCACTCAACCTCTGAGTCTGTTTCCCCATCTATAAAAAAAATAGATACTTTTTCTACCTGCTTCACAGGATTGCGGCAGAAAATCTTTGTATGTCAAATGACACCATACAAATCATCCTCATGACCACTTTACTTGTGTGACTGTAGGTCATATGGTGCTGGAAAGGCCCCTGCTTTTTGCAGAGGCTGACATCTCCTTCTACTCCCTCTGGATGCCCAGGCTTTGCTATTCTTTCCCACATACTCCCCTAGATTACAGTCTGCTCCCAAGCAACCTTACCTGTGAAATGTCCTGTCCATCTATTCGGATGCAGCCAGAACTGATGTCATAGAAGCGAAACAGCAGGCGCAAAATTGTGCTCTTCCCTGCCCCAGATGGGCCCACCTGTTGCATGAGAAATGGAGGGGGAAAATTCTCAGGCCCACTGGCTTCTAAGGTTCTCTCTTCAAGAGGCTACCAATGTCTATGGAGGTTATAACATTCAATCCTGTTGCCCATCATGACAGGGCTCTCTGACAACACAGCCTGGGTCACAAGCCACCATGAGCATTGAATGAGGGAAGCTTGAGGAGTCTGGGCCAGGTGGCTGGGTCTCCTCTCACCAGGGCCAGTGTCTGTCCAGGCATCACGGTGAAGGACACGTCCTGCAGGGTCTCCCGCCTGCTAAGAAGGGTGGTCATGATCAAGAGGCTCCTTCCATCACCAGAGCTACTACTAAGCCTGGCCCCTCCCCTGCCCAGGCTCTCTTCCCAGGTGCTGGTGGGCTGAGAAGCAGACATTCAGAGCAGGATGAGAGACAGGAAGACAGTGCACAAATGTACAACGGAAAGGAAAGAAGGGGAGGGCTCACCCATCGGTGTAGTTGAAGTGTACATTCTCAAACTCAATGCGGCCCTGGTGAAAGTGAAGGGGCCCTGCTCCAGGAAAGTCCTTCACCTGGAAGAGTGCCACCAACACTGCTGCTGTTACAGGCCTGGTACACTCCAGACACAAGAAACACCAGTCCCAAACCTATTTCCTCTCTCTCCACTCACTTCTGTCTCTTCTTTTAGCAGGTCAAACATGTTCTCCATGTCAATGAAGTTGGTCTGGATCATTCTGCAAGAAGGGTGCTGGTTGGGTATCCTCGGAGTAAATAGGAAACAGCAATGCACCCCAGACACATGAGGGCCAGGGATCAGGTTACCTGTAGTAGGTGCCAAACCAATTGAGGGGCATATACAGCTGGATGATGTAGGTGCCAAAGAGAACAAAGTCCCCAACCTGTGGAGATCCAGGGAAGCCAACTGCATCATAGGGGACCTACAGTCTGCTCTTCCTGTCACCCTGTCTAAATGGGTGCCCACCCAGGAGCCTGGTGGCACAGACACAGGCCCCAGGCCCCTCTTTCCTGTCCCCCACCTTCCATGATTCTGCCTCACCTGTAGGTTCTGCTCAGTGACAAAGTATGCACAGAGCAGGGAGCCAGCAAGGAGCCCGAATCCAATCACCAGGTTCTGGGTCTGATTTAGTAAAACCAGTGAAGCGCTTGATTTCCACTCCAAACTCTGAGGGCAGTAACACAGGAGAGAGGAATGTTCCATACACACTGAGCATCCCCAAGTCCAAACCTGGGCCCAGGCACCTTTTAGCTCAGCGCCTGAATATTACTCCTCTCGGCCCTGGCAATGCCACCAGCCAGCTCATTGCTGTCAGGGGGCCTCAAACTAGCACCCTCACCTGATACTTGATGATGGCCTCTCGATAGCATTCCACCTCATAGCTCTCGGCGCTGTAATACTTCACCTGATGAATTCAAACCAACACTGTTCCACACAGGCACAGCACAGAGCACCGGATCATTCCCTCCACATTCCGATCCCTCTTTCCTGATTTCAAACATCACACACAAATATCCCCCTGTCCCCCCAGCTCCTCTCCAGCCCCAGCGGTCCCAGACACACTGCTCCACATCTTTGCAGCTCACACCACGGCCACCAAGGCCTCTGTTACCGTCTCGAAGTTTAGCAGAGAGTCCACTGCTCGTGCCCGGGTAGCATTCTCCTGTGTGTTCATAGCACGGCGAAACTTGGCTCTCCACTCAGTGACCACAATGGTTAAGGCTCAAGAGTGACAGGAGGAGGGGGAGACAGAATAAGACATCATCCCCAAAAGCAGAGACAAAGAGTGAATTTCCACTGCCTGCCACACACACACTAAACCTGTGCTAGAGGCCAGGGACCCAAATTTTAGAGGGAGAAAGACTTTAGGCTCACTAAGGAAAGCTATGTCCAAGTCATCTCTGCAGCCTACACAAAGCCTCTTGTGTAGAAAATGCTCTCTGTGAACAAATGAAGGCAAACTGCCTTTTGTTACACAAATGAGCCTTCTCCTTGGCCTGCAAGTGGGGACCTCATGTGACAAAGATGCCCTTCCCCAGCCCTCTACCCAGGTTGAGCTAAGGTTCAACTAGACAGAGGAGGAGACCCACCCATCATGCTGGGAGCAGCAGGAGCCTATTCAAATCCACAAATCTACAGCCTCCCAAAAGTAGGTCACCGGAGTGGGGCAGGGCGCATGCCAAGGGAGTCCCTGGATAGTTCAGGCAGATGGTTTCCCCGAGCAGCACTCACTGAGGTAAAGACTCATGCACAGGAACACAATGAGACCAAACCAGGCGTTAAAGAACATGCTGAAGTAGATGATGCCGATGATGATGTCAGCCAGCGTGGGTAGGATGCTGAATACCAGGTAGCTAGGAGGGCAAGTCAAGTGATAAAGAAAGGTTTGGGGGGTTAGGCCCCACAACCCTACCTCTAGGAGTTTCAGTGCAGCGTTTTGTTTTCAACATCAACAGATTGGAATCAATCTAAATTGTTTCCACTCTAAAGAGGTGGATGGCTAAATAAACCATAGCATGCCCAAACTACCGAATTCTCTGTATCAATT